TGAGAGAAAGCATGAGGAAGAGTCCGTCATGTTTTCCGCGCCTAGACAGAGCCTTTTCCGGCCCATTGATATACCATATTTTTCTGTGTATGACTAGGTTTTCCCCCCCTTAAAAATAATGTCCAAAATTTGGGGGGCGTCTTATACATGGACAGATCTTCCCCCATTTTCTTAAATCGGAGTCCCCCAAAATAGGGAGCGTCTTATACATGGGGGCGTCTTATAGATGGAAAAATACGGTACATTTTATTGGGGTTACGGACTGCCTTTCCGCCAAGGCATCCAGGCGATTTACCGTGAAAAACACAAAAACGAATACATCCTATAAAATGTGGAGTGACAAGAATCCCCTCAGGCCAACTGTGTTACCCTCCATTACTGACTTCCCTCAGGTCACACGGAGCTCCAGGGAAGATGGCGGTGGAGCTGCCCCAACAGCTCTCTCAGGCCATTGATGGTCCTTGCTTCTCACAGCCTGTGGCAGACATTCGTTGCTGCTCATTCGATTAAGTAATAAAATATTTCAATGATTTTTTTCTGTTCAGCTGCCAGCCAACCTTGCCCTTCACTAAGATATTCCATTCCACACACCCCTCCCCGTTCCCAACTTCCTCATCATTCCCCCATGGCAGACATTCGAGTGGTTTTGGGGGGAAAGGCTGGGTTGCCCACTTAGTTTCTGTTGGTACAAATAGATAGGTTTTTGGGGAAAGAGGCTGCGTTGCCCACTTTGTTTCAGTTGGTAAAGGTAAAGGGACCCCTGACCATGAGGTCCAGTTGCGGACGACTCAGGGGTTGTGGCGCTCACCTCGCTTTATTGGCCGAGGGAGCCGGCGTGCAGCTTCCGGGTCATGTGGCCAGCATGACTCTGGCGAACCAGAGCAGCGCACGGAAATGCCGTTTACCTTACCACCACCTATTTATCTACTTGCACTTTGAAGCGCTTTGAAGCACTTTGAAGCGCTACTTGCACTTTGAAGTGCTTTCAAACTGCTAGGTTGGCAGGAGCAGGGACCGAGCAATGGGAGCTCACCCTGTCACAGGGATTCGAACCACCGACCTTCTGATCAGCAAGCCCTAGGCTCTGCGGTTTAACCCACAGCACCACCCGCGTCCCTTCAGTTGGTGTATGTATACACACACACACACACACACACACACACAGTGGTTACATACGCTTCAGGTTAAATCCGCTTCAGGTTACCTGGAAATAGTGCTTCAGGTTAAGAACTTTGCTTCAGGATGAGAACAGAAATCGTGCTCCGGCGGTGCGGCAGCCACAGGAGGCCCCATTAGCTAAAGTGGTGCTTCAGGTTAAGAACAGTTTCAGGTTAAGTACAGACCTCCGGAACGAATTAAGTACTTAACCTGAGGTACCACTGTGTATATATATATATACACAGTCCTACTTCATGTTACGTCCGCTTCATGTTACGTTCTTCCAGGTTACGTCCCGCAGCGACCTGGAAGTACCAGAAAGGGTTACTTCCGGGTTTCGCCGCTTGCGCATGCGCAGAAACACAAAATGACGTCGCACGCATGCGCAGAAGCGGCGAATCGCAACCCGTGTGTGCACAGATGCGCTGCTGCAGGTTGCGCACTTTTCATGTTGCAAACGGGCCTCCAGAACAGTACCAGAGGTACCACGGTGTATGTGTATATATATGTGTGGGTGTGTGTAGGATAACTCCTAGATGCCAAGACCAAAGTATGGGACAAGCACTCATTGATGAGAGAAGCCCAGCAGAGATTTAAATCACAAAATATGCAGCAAAGGAAAGCGTGGAAATATAGGCTGTTGCAACTTCAAAATATTCACTTCCAAGTGAATCCCAAAATTTTCCTCTTCCTCCACAATAGGAAAAGACCACATGTTTGGTAAGTTAAAAATGGGTTTACTTACAAACTCTTCAAAGGTCTGGTTCATGTGCTTATCCATACATCAGTCGGAAAAGTTGCACAGGCAGTAAAACTCAAGAGTGGCTGGTGAGAGCCATGTGGCTGAGCTGGAGCAACCAGTTTCTCAGGTAGACTGGGAGGAACAGTAGACTTTCCTATTTCCTCCCAAGGTAAGGGAAGTGACATAGCTAAGCCTGGCAGCAATAGCTTACTCCATGGTATTAACTCCTTCATGCATTAATTCGACTTTAGCATGTTGGTTATATGAGGCTGGTTATTCCGCAGTTTCGTCCCCGTACCCCCCATCTTGGCAAAATATTTTTTACACTTCTGCAAAGCTTGACGTTCTCCCCAACATGCTGATACCCCTCATTCCTTTCCAAGTGTAAGGTTACCAGATTATTATCAATGACTCCGGGGACACAATCAATCAATACTACATCTTGGGACATTGGTGCTGCAGCGATCAACCGCCACATTCCCCCTTCCTCTGAGGCTTCTATCTCCTTTTTCCATGAGCCTGGGCACCCCTGAGTTGTTGGTTCTTTGGCGGTGGTGGTGGGGAAGCGGTGCGCGGTGGGTCAGGCATGGAAGGCGGAGAAGGAGGGCTGAGAGCGGCGGTGAGGCTCGGGCAGTGCGATGCCGCCCTTCCCATCGGAGCAGCCCCAATCCCATTCCTACTTGTGTGCAAGCAGGAGGGGGCAGAGAACCCTCAGCTGGGAAGGGAGGCTTCCCGTTGCCTAACTGAGAGATCCCTGCCCTCTCCTGCTTGCACGCAAGTAGGAGTTGGGAGGCTGCTCCGATAGGCAGCATGAAGCCTCCCATCACAGTTTAGTTGCCGGAGTCAGGGAAGGTGGAGGCAGCCCGGAAGCTGCATCTTAGAGCCCCTGCACCACCATCATGTGGGGACTTCTGAGCAGCTCCTGAAGCCAGCCAGAGCCAACTGTTCCGGGCTGCTGAGACTGCCGCTGCTGCGTTTCCCAGGGACATTATATGAAATCCGGGGACATTCCGGGGATGGAATTTGTCCGGTCTTATTCGCAAATCCGGGGACTGTCCCGGGGAAACAGGGACGTCTGGTAACCCTATAAAAGTGGCTTTGTTTAGGACTACAATCATGTTGGCACGCAACATGGTGTTCCCTATTAGAGGGAACAATGAAGCACACAAAACCAGCACTGTAGAAATATTAAAAGTGAGTGAGACAGGTCTGTCCCTCATGCAACCTAAAATCAATAGTCCTGTTTTGTTCCATAGTTTGACCTTCAAAGATAGTTTAGCAGAAGGGCATCACACCATCACAGGAACATAGGAAGCTGTCTTACAGGAGCCAAACTGTTGGTCCACCCAACTGAGTATTGTCCGCACTGATTGCCTCTTCACAATTCATGCTCAGCCCTTCCTGGAGATGTCAGGACTTGAACCTGGGACCCTCTGCATGCAAAGCAGGAAATTTACCACTGAGCTACAGGTCGATTTTGCAGCAGGTTGTGAGTGCCAATGCTTATGTACCCCCAAATGACACCAGACATGCAAGAGGAGGTGTAGGTGTCAGCAGGCTTGAGGGTAAAATCCATCTTCAGAAAGACCAGAAATATTTAGGGGGGGGTGACCCCAAACACAGCCCGTTGTGGAATGTGCCTGTTCAGTAGCTGCAAAAATGACTGTTGGGAGTGGAAAACCAGGGTTTTGCCTCCTTACCTGTGGGTTATTTTTAGCCATGGGCTTAGGATGAAAATGGCATATATCTGGGATGGCTAGTACCTATGGCCCTCTAAACATGGTGGAGACTGTCGTAGCTTTAAGAAATGCAGTTTATTCACCTATTTACACCTTCAGTCTGCATGCAGGGAGTCCAGATCTTACAACATGGTCATTTCAAGAGGGGCTTGTCCGCCACAGCAGTCCAAGGCATCTCTCCCAGCCAGCCTTCAGCCAGCCTGCCCAAGATGGATCCCCATTTTTCTTCTCTCCCTTTCTTCTTCCAAGCACACCTTGCTAAAGACTCTCGTGTCCTGTGGCCTCACACCCAGTTACCTTGGCAACCTTCCAACCCCCCCAGTCTCTGTTCACACCTCAGGGCTAGAGGGGAATGGACAGCTCTCTTGCATTGCCAAGGGACCTCAATGGCCCTCTATTGTAGGAGTCGGCAAGGTTTACCTCGCCTGGGCCAGTTGCTCCAGCGGAGATTCCTCCGTTTGGCTTGAGCATGCGCACCCACGATTTCCGGTGTCTGTGTCTGCGCAGATGCGATTTCCAGCGTCTGTGTCTGCACAGATGCGATTTTTGGCATCTGCGCATGCGCAATTTCCGGAGCCACGGAAGTGAGTCCCCACGCTGCGTTGTGCCGGTTTAGCGCCACGCGCAGGGACTTGCCAAGCAGGCAGCTCGGTTTGGGGGCAGCTCGGGGGCCGGTTAAACGACGCCCGTGAGCCACTTGTGGCCCACAGGCCTTAGGTTGCCAACCCCTGCTCTATTGTTTCTTAACGGCCCCAGCCTGGCCAAGTCGTTTTGCATAGGCTGGCCCAGGAATTCCTCTGCAGCTTGTATTTCTCCCTCCTCCCCCCAAATAATCAACATCCTAAAGGTAAAAAGGTAAAGGGACCCCTGACCATTAGGTCCAGTTGTGACCGACTCTGGGGTTGCGGCGCTCATCTCGCTTTACTGGCTGAGGGAGCCGGTGTACAGCTTCCAGGTCATGTAGCCAGCATGACTAAGCCGCTTCTGGCGAACCAGAGCAGCGCACGGAAACACCGTTTACCTTCTTGCCAGAGCGGTACCCATTTATCTACTTGCACTTTGACGTGCTTTCGAACTGCTAGGTTGGCAGGAGCAGGGACTGAGCAACGGGAGCTCACCCCATCGTGGGGATTCGAACCGCCAACCTTCTGATCGGCAAGTCCTAGGCTCTGTGGTTTAACCCACGGCGCCACCCACGTCCCTAATCAACACCCTACCATTTATTAATTTCTAGGAGGGGAGGGGGGAATCCCCTCCCAAATCTATAGCGATGCACTAAACGCCAGTGCCACTGGGTGGTGCCAGGATTGAGGCTTCGCGTCACAGAGAAGCAAAGAATGTGCAGAGTCAGCAGAAGGCTTTTATTTGGCATACTTAGGTACAACCGAGCTGTCGACGATCCAGAGCGGGGCTCTCCCATACCTGAAGCCATCTTCTCCTGGTACATTAATAGTCTGCCTTGTTTCCGTCAAGCACGAGATGGTCAGAGGCTCCCAATGCGTTGTTTTGGGGGACCAGCCTTGAATACTGGGGAGGGGTTCCATTTCGTTTGTACCTGGAAGCACAAACAAACCAAACAATAACACAGGTGAGACCAACCCATGCGGAAGGCTCTCGGAGCGTAAGACGGGGCAGGCCAGAGCTGTACACCATGTTCTTCTCCCCCCAACTGGTGCCCTCCAGATGTTTTGGACCACAAAACATAGGACTGACCGGACGATAAGGAGTGGTGGGCCAGAGAACCCATTAGGAAGGCCTCAGAGGACGGATGAGAGCCAGGGGAGCACTAGTGGGACACTGGTCAGAGGACCAAGCGGGAGGGCAGAATGGTTGGATGCTGAACAAGCAACAGGCTTAAGTGAGAGAGAGGAATCAGAGGCAGGAAGCACTGTAGATGCAGGACAGGCAGCTGAGGATCTGTGGGCAGGTGGGAACCTATAGTTCTCTGGACACCAGGACCCAGCCAACATGGCCAGTGAGTGGTCAGGGATGCTGGGAGGTGGAGTTCAACAACATTTGGAGGGCCATGGGTTGCCCACTGAACTAGGCCCGCTCTGCGTGTAAAGCATTTGCACTTTCACTGAGCCCAGAAAATGTCCTTTCCTCCCTTGAGGTTAGCTGTCGGTTCAACATCAGGAAATCCTCTTAATAGGTCAGAGCAGTTTGGCCATGGAGCCCATTACCTAGAGGTCTTAACGCAGAGGCTAGACCTCTGCAGCTGTGGGTATCCTGCATCGAGTAGGCCTCCCCTCCACCTCTTTGTATTCTTTGAGTAAAGGAAGACTGCTTACCAAGCCTCGTGTGCTTACGGAGCTGGGGGTACATTCTCAGCAAGCGCCTCTCCGCGTAATTTTTTGAAAAATGGGCTTCGCTGGTGAAATCCTTATCTCTGGAGAACCTGCTTGCGGGATGGAGTAAGTTTGCTCAGTAGGGATCGATCAACTTTACTTCGTTAATGGAAATCCCCTCCCCCCCCCCAGTGGTATCATAGGCTCCTATGGTCCTCGCACCGTGCAATGGCGGGGAATGCCAGTAAGATGTCTATGTAGACCATACTGCGTTTTTTCATAACAAGAGGTAATTCGCATATCCCTTCAGCCCTTAAGGTCTTCAACGCCAAAATTATAGCTCAATGGCTCTATGGTATTCCAGTCTGGCAGCCAGGGTTCACCCATTTGGTAGAACGAGTGCAGGCAGCTTTCCTCTTCAAGATTTTTACTGTCCCACACTGTGTACCCTATGCAGCCTTATGTCTAAGGTAAAGGTCAAGGGACCCCTGACAATTAGGTCCAGTCGTGACGGACTCTGGGGTTGTGGCTCTCATCTCGCTTTATTGGCCAAGGGAGCCGGCGTACAGCTTCCGGGTCATTTCTGGTGAACCAGAGCAACTCACGGAAACGCTGTTTACCTTCCCGCCGGAACGGTATCTATTTATCTACTTGCACTTTGAGGTGCTTTCGAACTGCTAGGTTGGCAGGAGCCGCTGACCTTCTGATCAGCAAGCCCTAGGCTCTGTGGTTTAACCCACAGCACCACCCGCGTCCTTATGTCTAGAGGGAGGTCAACACAAGGTAGAGACTGTCACCTGGGTGAGATTTCTTACATGCTGGTTAAACATCTGCCTTACATCAGATAAAGATCCTCTCCTCAGCGGAGTTTTGTTAGACTCCTTTCTTTCCCCAGGGCTACAACAGTTTAACAAGAAGGTACAGCTGTCAGTGGAACTTTTGCGATCGATGTCCCTACCATCTGCCAAGGCTATAATAAAAACTAGGTTGAGGGATATTGAACGCCAAGAACTAACAGTAGCAGCAGAGAAAACATGCCCCCCTCTTTATTTTCAACTTTCTTGGGCACATGAAACTAACCATAACTACCTTGAATTTCTGCTTAACCCTCCTTTGGGGAAGGTTCTCAGGCAGGGTGGAAGGAGAAAGAACTTGCCCATGTGAAGACCACCTGATGGAAACCCTTACACATATGGTTCTCAATTGTAAACTACCGTATTTTTCACTCTATAAGACGCACCAGACCACAAGACGCACCTAGTTTTTGGAGGAGGAAAAAAATGAAAAAAAATATCTGAATCTGAGAAGCCAGAACAACAAGAGGGATCGCTGCGCAGTGAAAGCAGCAATCCCTCTTGCTGTTCTGGCTTCTGGGATAGCTGCGCAGCCTGTATTTGCTCCATAAGACGCACACACATTTCCCCTTACTTTTTAGGAGGGAAAAAGTGAGTCTTATAGAGCAAAAAATACGATATATGCTGATCTCCACCAGCAATTTCTAGATCAACTCTGTATCCCCAAATGGAAACCAGAGTTGGAGGTCATACATTTTCTATTACTGGGGAATGATCAGGAGCTCACCAAGTTAGCAGCTAAATATTTCTATTTGGTTTTTTGTCATCGAAATACACTGCAGACGTCTGATCTCCCTGGAGACCAAGAGATGTGACGATAAGACTGCTCTTCCTCCTTCCTTTTGGCAAATGTTTTGTGCCACTGGGGAAGTGGTGATTCTGTATTGATTTGTTCTGGATGTTTGTATGTGATGTATTGATTTGTTCTGGATGTATTGATTTGTTCTGGATGTTTGTATGTGATGCCAATAAAAGGTTTGATGATGACATAGGTAAAGGTAAAGGGACCCCTGACCATTAGGTCCAGTTGTGGTTGACTCTGGGGTTGTGGCGCTCATCTCGCTTTACTGGCCGAGGGAGCCGGCGTACAGCTTCCAGGTCATGTGGCCAGCATGACTAAGCCGCTTCTGGCGAACCAGAGCAGCGCACGGAAATGCTGTTTACCTTCCCGCCGGAGCAGTACCTATTTATCTACTTGTACTTTGACATGCTTTCGAACTTCTAGGTGGGCAGGAGCAGGGACCGAGCAACGGGAGCTCACCCCGTCGCGGGGATTCGAACCGCCGACCTTCTGATTGGCAAGTACTAGGCTCTGTGGTTTAACCCACAGCGCCACCCACGTCCCTATGATGATGACATAGCCAAGACCTAAAGAGGGGTGGCACGATAGGTCTTGCAGCTGGGTGGGGAACCTTCGTCCCACAGGCCTCTTTAGGACAATTTGGCCCACAAGGCTGTTCCTCACAAACAGTGCTTTTTTGGGGGGGGTACGGTGGGGTACGCATACCCCTAAACATTTTGTGAATCTAAGTTTGGCCTCATTGTGGAGCAATATGGAAAATGAGAGTACCCCTAGACATTTTTTTAGGGGGGAAAAGCACTGCTCACAAACCATGACCACCTGTCCATACAGGACGTCAGGTCTGGGGGACACACAAAGGTGGGGCTGTAAAGGAATAATAAGGAGCTTAAAGTGAGCTCACGGTTGCTCCTTTGCAAACAGGGCTCCCAGTCATAGAATCATAGAATTGAAGAGTTGGAAGGGACCCCGAGAGTCATCTAGTCCAGCCCCCTGCAATATTTTGTCCAATGTGGGGCTCAAACCCACAACCTTGAGCTTAAGGGTCTCCTGCTCTATCGACCGAGCTATCTCATGTACAAACCGTGTCGGCACCAATCAGCTGACAGGCGCTAACAGAGGGTATCAATCGCACTGCAGTTTCTTCTTGAAATGAAAGGTATACTAATACTAATAAAGGTAAAGGGACCCCCTCACCGTTAAGTCCAGTCGCGGACGACTCTGGGGTTGCGGCGCTCATCTCGCTTTATTGGCCGAGGGAGCCAGTGTACAGCTTCCAGGTCATGTGGCCAGCATGACTAAGCCGCTTCTGGCGAACCAGAGCAGCGCACGGAAATGCCATTTACCTTCCCGCCGGAGCAGTACCTATTTATCTACTTGCACTTTGTGCTTTCGAACTGCTAGGTAAAGGTAAAGGTACCCCTGCCCGTACGGGCCAGTCTTGACAGACTCTAGGGTTGTGCGCTCATCTCACTCTAGAGGCCGGGAGCCAGCGCTGTCCGCAGACACTTCCGGGTCATGTGGCCAGCGTGACAAGCTGCTCTGGTGAGCCAGCGCAGCACACGGAAACGCCGTTTACCTTCCCGCTAGTAAGCGGTCCCTATTTATCTACTTGCACCCGGGGGTGCTTTCAAACTGCTAGGTTGGCAGGCGCTGGGACCGAACGACGGGAGCGCACCCCGCCGCGGGGATTCGAACCGCCGACCATACGATCGGCAAGTCCTAGGCGCTGAGGTTTTTCCCACAGCACCACCCGCGTCCCTTCGAACTGCTAGGTTGGCACTAATACTAATAGGACTTGGTTATTTTAAGTCATGTGCAGCTACTCAGCCCTCGTGCCTGTTTTATAGTTTTGTTTTTCATCTTTGAATTTTTGTCTGTTCTTCCACTTGTCCTCTCTGTTTTTCCCCCCATTATAAATAAAATTATAAAAAAAAACTTTACAAATAATGATGATGATGATGATGATGATGATGTTCCGTAGGGAAGCTGAGAGGCTTGGTTTTGAAATGGTTTCCATGGAAAACAGAATAAGCTAGAATAAGCTCGTTATTAGCAAAGGGTTTTCATGCAAACTACTGTGTGCTAGTGGAGAAAACATCCCGCCACCAATCATAGAATCATAGAATCATAGAGTTGGAATAGACCACAGGGGCCATCGAGTCCAACCCCCTGCCAAGCAGGAAACACCATCAGAGCACTCCTGACATATGGTTGTCAAGCCTCTGCTTAAAGACCTCCAAAGAAGGAGACTCCACCACACTCCTTGGCAGCAAATTCCACTGTCGAACAGCTCTTCCTGTCAGGAAGTTCTTCCTAATGTTTAGGTGGAATCTTCTTTCTTGTAGTTTGGATCCATTGCTCCGTGTCCGCTTCTCTGGAGCAGCAGAAAACAACCTTTCTCCCTCCTCTATGTGACATCCTTTTATATATTTGAACATGGCTATCATATCACCCCTTAACCTCCTCTTCTCCAGGCTAAACATGCCCAGCTCCCTTAGCCGTTCCTCATAAGGCATCGTTTCCAGGCCTTTGACCATTTTGGTTGCCCTCCTCTGGACACGTTCCAGTTTGTCAGTGTCCTTCTTGAACTGTGGTGCCCAGAACTGGACACAGTACTCCAGGTGAGGTCTGACCAGAGCAGAATACAGTGGCACTATTACTTCCCTTGATCTAGATGCTATACTCCTATGGATGCAGCCCAGAATTGCATTGGCTTTTTTAGCTGCCGCATCACACTGTCATTCAATCAGCTGAATGAACCTTCAGAGGAGGTCGCTGCAACCATCAGCGGCTCTGACAGGTGTCTATTTACGTGGTGTCATTATTTAGGACATCAGGTGACTGAAGGTGGCATATGGAGGGTGGGGCACTGAGGGATCTGGCCCACGGCTTGGATCCAGTCGCCCCCCCACCCCCGTTTTACATCCACAGATCTTCAGATGAATCCTGATCTGTGTTCTGCCTGTCCCTGAACCTCACCATCTGCTGGATGTGTTGAAAGGTGCTGGATTGGGTCTGCCACTTTGCTGCCTGCAGGTGTTGAAGACATTTCGACAAAGATACGCCTTAAAATGGCTTCGGTGGAGGGCTTGGTTTCGGTTCCAAACAGCAATAACTTTGCATTTGGAATTTGGCTTGGTGGTGGTAATTCCCCGCTGAAAGGGTGGAGGGCTCGCTCAGCTAGACCACATCTGGAGACAGATATAACCCGATGGATTCCTGAATGCTCTGGGGACCTTCTGGCAGAGAAAGCTGATGGTCCTTGCCAAAGCCCAAATGTCACTATGGAACGGTGGTGGATGACACAAACCAGGCATTCTGAGTATTCTGGGTAGCTATGAGCCAGGTGGAGACCAGAACAAAAGGGCACACGCTTTGCTCTGAAGTTGACTGAGTTCAAGTCAGTGCACATAAATGGAAAGGACCCCTGGATGGTTAAAGGTAAAGGGACCCC